AGCTGAACTTTACGAATATGAAATATATCTATTTATGACAAAAATGAACAAGAATACAATTTTACAGAACTGCCCATAACGCTAAGTGTTCGTATGGGCTTAATTAAAGTGCAGGCCATCCATTGCATAGTCCCGCGCCATTATAGCGAGTCAGGTTAGGGTCCACGGGAACAATACCCACACTAAGAAATTCCTATCGGAAACTGGAACATCTTCTCACTGAGAGGAAATTAGAGGAGCCATTAATGAGGCCGCATGACACTTATTGTATATAGTTGGGCTCTCGTCAGTGAAATACCAGCGTTCTGGAATTCTGTACTTATGCAGGTGGAAGGTATTCAACTCAGGTGTCTACATCATCAATCGGCCAAAGCCTATGTTGGTGTTCAACTGGAACTTAACATGGCTGACAGAATCATTAAATGAAAAAGAGTCAGCGGAATACTGGCAATCATCTAGCTGAATTTACAACAGGCTGTGGTTTTCGCCATGCTATAAGTCCATGATTCCAATTTGAATATTAGTCGTTCCTCGAAGACGTAGAAAGTCATTAGTACGAAGTTTCGAGAGCAGAATATATCATCAAACGGTGATTTCAATGCGTGTGCAGGAACAGATGCTGAAACGAAGCAAGGCGTAAAGAATAGACCTTGCGACCTCAACAGTGGCGGATGAAGTTGCTGCGGTCTTGGGCAGACAACGGACTGTCTGTTATGAGTTCCTTCGTCAAAATCGAAGCATGTACCAGTATTACTGGTATAGGAATTTCTTGTACAAGAGTATAAGTTGCTGCACAGAAGTGAACGGTTTATTTGATAATCGCATCGTCTGACTTACGACGCTCTGCAATGTAATGTAATGACCGCGTTAGCAGAGTCGCAGAGCTGTCGACTGGCAATCAGCCTGTTGTTGGCACTCGTTGATGTAAAAAATGGAGTATACCACGCGAAGATCTCTACGAAGAAGCAATCAGCGAATCATATAGGAAAGATGATCTTTTGCGGACACGAGGGCAAAACTTGTGAACAACATCATACGATGGTTTGAACACATCCCGGTGGTGACAGCTGGCGGAAACCAAGTGGAAGCTCTCTTAGAGCAGTTTATTCAGGGCTGTCGTTGAACACGGTGGTTTGAAACTGCTTGGCTTTCCACCTGGAGTTCAGAAGCGAACTTCCTGCGGATAAGACGCAAGAGGTTAAACTGGCTGTCAGCTGAAAGAAGGTTGCATTCAGGAGGTGACTTGCATGAGAGCTTTACGTTCGAATGGAGTACGAAAAAGTGCACAAGACGCCAGCGAAAGTAGGCGCTGAAACGATAGCTGAATTCCTGGAAAATATTCAATAAGGTGCTGGATTCGAATTTGCAGACAGCAAACAAGGCATCCTTGGAGAGCATCCGGCACGTCCAAAATGAAGAGAAAACCAGGGTAACAGTTTTGGTGGACAAGTTCGGACGACCACTTACCAGGGATCGGGTCATAGCTCGGCGATGAAGATCACTTTGGGGAACTCCTTAACTGTGAGCAACTGCGAAAAAAGAGTGGCCAAATAACCAGGCAACAGATATTAGTCTTTCAGCAAATGAAATCACTGAAGCATTGAAAAGCTTGAAAAGCGGCAAAATCGCTGGCCGATACGTGTCTGTGAAACTGCAATGACAACGAAATGGCCCTGGGAAATTATCAGGAGTGCTTCATCTCACTGGCATTACCATACTCAGACTCAATATAAGGTGTTGAAAAAGAGGGACCGCAGAATAGCCGATTGTAAGATACTAGAAGAGCAACGTCGCTTCTAGCCGGGCCGAAGCACCTTTGACCAGGACTTCGCCTTACATCAGACTCTTGAGAAATAGTATGACTTTGCCGATTCGGTTTAAACATGTTTTATGAACCTGGAGAAAGTCTGTGACAGGATCCCGTACAAAAAGTTACAAAAAGTTGTGGGCGTGTCCTCAGACATGGAATCAATCGTCAGTTCCTCAAAGATATGGAATCGAAGCGTATAATCACAACATTGTGATGACAGGATTGCATCAGAGTAGACGACGCTTAATTCACCTTTAAGGATCGAAACTGGTCTCCGTCAAGGCTGTGTTCTGTGTCCCGTTCTGTTTGAGTTTCACATCGATGGAATAGTCCGGCAGAGTTAAAGGCACGAGTCCACCAACGTAGGTATGCGCAGATGAGAAAGTTGCTGTTTGCAGACGATTTTGTTTTGTTGAAATCTTCTGAAACTTGTCTCTACTGCTCTCTGCAAAAGTGGCGACAGCCCTGTGAGAATGCGTAAAACGAACAGCTTCATGCTTTCCCGTCCTCTTGCCAGTAGCGCCTTACAGGTAAAAGCAGAAGCAGTGGAATAGGTGGAGAATTCACGTATCACAGAGTCGTGTTTACTGGTGATGTAAAATGGGAGGAAGAGATCAACCGGCGAACTGGAATTGCAAGCGGCGTGCGTGAACTGCTCGAACTGTTGTGACTAATGCAGAGAAGAGTCTGAAGACTAGGCTTTCTCTGCTAATGTCGATCCACATCCGATGCTCACCTATGGTCATGAATGGCAGATCACGTTTGAAAAACTTCGATCTGTGGTACAAGCGGTTGAAATATGCATTCTGAGACGAATCGCTGGACTGATTCTTCAGGAGATGATCCAGAGAACAAATACCTGAAAGAGCCTTGGTGTACAGTATCTGCTTCTCGAGATTCATGAGACAGCTAAAAAGGTTTGAGCAGGGTACTCAGAAAAAATGACGAAACAGCTACTACCTGCCCAACTTAACCGACTGAGAAAATCAGGCAAGTCAAGAATAGCATAGGACGAGTATATCGATGGTCTCTTCTCCAAGCTCACGCTATCTTCTGCCGAAGTTCAAATGAAGGCAGACGATCGGGAACGTTAGAGTCATTTTCAGCGCGTCTGCCTCCCATAATGAAACTAAAGTCAGATCGAAGCTCTATTTCGTGCATTTGTGGTCCCAGATTTTATGAGAAATGTTAAGCAGCTTCACATCGCAGCAAAATGAGATATAATAAATAGAAAAAAATATTCACGGCGGTAAACAATTAAAATAAAACTTCCGGTTTTTGATTCTGGGCCCGTAGCTCTATGGATAAGTTGAACGATTCATGGTTCAAGGCACCAAACATTGCAGCCGACGCGTTTCGCTACATAGACCGTAGCACCATCGGAGCTAAGCTAAGTACAAATGACTGCGTCAAGGCACATGTCCAACAAGCGAACAATACTTTACAATCAAAATATTCTTAAACT